GAGTATGGCTCTTTCTTTTTTTTTTATTTATTTATTTGGGTCTACAAACAGTGTTCACAAAAAGGCTTATATCTAAACAAATAATATAATTAAATAAATAATTATGACACCAGCATCGTTGACCACAGGTTACTAACTGGTTTCGGATCTGTATTCGGAACTTACAGATCGATTGGTATACTTCAGACAAAGGATCAGTGAGCTGAAGTGACTCATTAGCCGTAAAAGCGATGACCAAAAACTAGACGGGTTTAGTACGACCGAAGTAGTCACATCCTTTAATAATGAAAGTCCTTAGAATATGCATAATATGCCCATATATGGTAATTGTGTTGTTTTTCAATTATACACATTTCGACATGTACATGCATATTTAGATACTAGGGACTCACCTTCGCTCTGCTCGGGTTGGTCCCTAGTTACGTTTTTCAGAGATGAGATATTTGCCGCAGTAAAACGTATCCTATATGTTGACTCGAATAACCAGCTATCACAATACCAAATTTTATTAAAATCTGTCCAGTGGTTACTGTACAGACAGACAGACAGGCAAAAATTTTAAAAATTATAGATTCAGCCTCTGTATCGTTAATAATGACTATTTCAATAAGATTTTCCAAAAAATATTTAGTGTACAGATCTTGACACCAGTTGATAGACAACCGTCAAAGAGGAATTTTCGATATGTGCCCGAGCCAACGTAATGATAATTAGTTATGGTTGAGGATAGACTTAGGTGTGATTTTAAGTTTTCTGTTATAACAATCCTTTCCTATGCGTCATTAAATCACAGCATTAAAGCAGCAATCTCTTTTAAATTAATTTTAACAGAAAGGGCATTTGATTTAGATGAACACAAAATGCGTGTCAATCTAGTATCGAAGAATACTTAGTAGAATTCAGTAATCTTTGAGTTAGACCCGTTTTGTACTGGTCACGTTAGTTTAATTTGAATTGTAATAATGTACAACATCCTTTTTCAATCCATTTATTCATTTGTATAATTAAATTATCGATTTACAATGAAGCACCGTAGTTTTGTTTAGTGTAGTTTTATCACTAACTTTGAAAAGATAAGTGAAAAATGATTAAAAATAATCTCTGGAGTATCATTAAGCCATTTTACCTCTTGAGCGTTTTATTTTGTGTGCGAAAGTATAAATTGAAAGGCAAAAATGTATCAGCTACTACAAAGAAGGATTTGGTTGCTGCGACATTTGGAAATTTTTTCATTTATATTATGTTATACTTCACATTGACCGCATTCTTCAAAATTTTTGACGAAAGTTCTTTGATTTTTTTGTATATCATCACATATGTTTTCTACGCTATCAATTACACTGTGCACAGTGTTTTAAGTATTATTGAAACAAAACGACATATGACCATTTTATTGAATCTCCAAAAAATTAATAAAACCTTGCAAAACGACAATGACAGTAGAATACTAAAATTATTCATTAATATTGCTATAATTTTACTATTTACAACTTACTTCGTCTTAGTGATTGCCAAATTAGCTTTAGATCCATTATGGTCTTTCGCAAGATTTATGTTTATATTTTTAACAATAATCTTTGACCTTGAAATATTGTATACTTCTTTAGTAATATTGTTTTTGGCATTAAAAATTGAGAGGTGGTCAAATTTAGCGAATAGCAAGACTCGGATTATTTCAATAACACAAATGATTAGAGAAGTTGAATCTGAAGAAGATGTGATGTTTGATGTTTTTGAAAGAATTATTGACACTATTGTGGATGTAGAGAAGGTTTCCAAGTGGACGGTGAAATTATTATTTTATTCATTGTTTTGTGTTTAAAAATTAAATGGCTGTAGCTTCACCCTCGATAAAATGTATTTTTTTCATTTACATTTAACATTTTAACAAAACTTTCTGATAAGATATCAACAAAGAAAATGGTATTCAACATTAAAGTTTGAAAATTTATCTTTTGCAGATTTTAAACCACTTAATAATGCAGCTGTTACAATCAATAGCGTATGTGCAGATTTGGATAGAATGGATGAAAAACAATATGGTAATTTAAAATAATGTCTGCTATTTATTTCTGTTTAATTTTATACTAGGTTAATTCCCCATTCAAACTTTTATCCCCATTTTCATCCCCTTAAAGGATGATTTACGGGATAAAAACTATGTTAGGTCCTTCCCAGGGTCTCAAACGGTAAATCGGTTCAGTAGTTTCGAAATTTGGAGCCCACTCGCTACAAACAAACAAAAAATCATTTGACCGGGAACCGTACATTTTTCTGGGATAGAAAGTAGTCTATTTATTATTCTGATGTATGAATTATATTATTGTAAAGTTTCACTAAAATCCAAGCAGTGTTTTTTGTGTACTAAGCTGTATAAGTTACTATAGTTTTTTAACTATCCCACGAGAACTCTTTAATTTTCCGGGATAAAAAGTATCTAAGATATTGACCGGGGATGTTAGATACCACCATCCAAAATTCCATTTCAATCGGTCCAATAGTTTCGGAGATTAGCTTGTACAAACAGACAATCAGACAAACAGACAGAGAAACAAAAAATTGAAAAAAAAACTGGATTTGTTCTATTTCTCTTCTTACATCCTCCTGAATCAGTTTTTAGGATTTTTTTCTATGTACAGACATTCGACGTCTACAGTTTTATTATATGTATAGATACTTTATAACGTCTTCATTTCAGTTGGGCACACTTGCGTTTTCTAGTCATACAATTGGAATTGTGGTATGGATTACTAAGGGAACTATTATAGATATTGTTCTATCAGTGTGTTGTGAAATCTTATATAAGAAAGTAGAAAATGCGAAAGTTGCAATTTTGCTTTATTTAATCGAGTCATATACATGTAAGTATCTTTGATGGTATTTTAGTAGTAACAGAATACGATATTGTAAATGTCGAACGTATGAAAACACAAATGTCGTATGTAAAGAATTCGAATCCATAATCTCTATTAAAAGACACCTACGTGTTTACAAGGCGGTAATAATATAGATTACTAGTTCGCTGCCCAATACAAACTTTCATCCCCATTTTCACCCTATTTAGGGATGATTTCCAGGATAAAAAGTATTCCAGGATCTCAAACTATCTTCTTACCAAATTTCATCTAAATCGGTTCAATAGTTCCAGAGATTACCCCCTACACCGTCACAAACTCACAAAGTTTACCGCTTTATAATATTAGTATAGATAATAAAATACAGGTGTACCTAAAAAGAAAATCCCGTATTTTTTACGCCTTTAACTAACTGACAGACTACGAGTGTATATGTACCTAAGCAAATGTTGAAAGACGATTTAATTTATTAAGTAATTAGAAAAACAAAAACAAGTTTATCCCACGGGAACAGTACACTTTTCCGGGATAAAAAGTAGCCTATGTACTATTCCAGACTATAATCTATCTCTCCTAAATTTCATCCAGATCCGTTCAGCCCTTCTGGCGTGATTGAGTAAAAAACATTCAAACATCCATCTAAACTTTCACATTTAGAATATTAGTAAAATTAAAAATATCTTATCAATTTGAAATTTTAAAATAATAATTGACAGTAATTAAATACGAACTCATCTGATTATTTGAAAGAATAAGTTTTAACAGTAGATTTTTTACAGCTAAGGACAGGCAGTTCGCAAAGAAAGTGCTAAAAATATTAACAAATCGATACAAAAAGTTAAGTAGTTGTGGCGTGGTTACTATAGAAGCGGCCCTACCATTGAACGTTGCAGCTCTGGTTGCCAACTATACCATCGTCCTACTACAGTTCGCATTTCTGTAATTAAAAATAATTATACATTAAAAATTTAGAACACCCAACTTAATTGTCATTTAACGATTACACTGGCACACCTGAAGCACTTAAAAAAAATGCACTATTTTATTTTTCTTTATTTAGGATCTCTAACAAAAGATACACACAATATACAACATCATATAAAAACAAAAAGCAAATAAGACTCACAACACGTGTGCTCCTTATAATTACTTATATGATATTATTAATTATTAATATATCCTTTTTGGAAAAAAAATAGTTCTATTGTAGTAAATCTAGTTTTATAATATACATTATGATTAGTACATTTAAGAATATTTTTATGTAAACAACATGATATAAAAGGGTTTTTTGTCGTTAATTTTTTTATATGATATTATATAATCAAAATAAAAGATTTTTTCTTCTCCTTTTTTTTCTTCCTTTTCCTTATCACCAATCTTACCACTCACACTTTTCACACACATTCTCTTTCTAACATATTTATGACTTTCTTGGTTTTAACTTAACGTGTGTAGCATATACGACTGCAGATTAGGAGGTCCTGTCCGGTCCTGGGTTCGAGTCCCGGATTTAATTACTGAGCTTTTCTGTAAAAATATTCTCAGTACTTGCCTGGAGTTGGCGAGTTGGCAATGTTGCACCCCCGTACCTCTGATAGCACGTAAAGCCAACTCCTGCGCCTTTATTCTCCCCGTCGTGTCGAAGTATCGCCCCATCGGATATTGAGAGTAAAAGGAATAGAATGTGCACGTTTTATCTGCGCGTACACGCGCTGCACTATAATATCTCCTGCTTATCTGGCTAGTCTCAGTGAGATTGGCCACCGTAGCCGAAATCCGTCGGGAGGACTGAACTTCATACATAAATTTTATAGACGATTTATGTTTCGGCTTGTGGAAATCGACAGATTATTGAATTGCACACTTTTTAGCATGTTATAAGCTCATCACACCTTAATATGACACGCTCAAGTATTTCTAACTTATTAAAATATACATATTTTAAATATTCTGATCAGCTGCTCTAGACTAGGTGAAGGTACTCAACAGAGTGCATGGGGATATTCTTTATGTTAATCTGCCGCGCTTAATCAATCCCAAAATTCCCTCTTGAGCTCCGCTACTATTGAAAAATGTTTTATTAAGAAATAGACAGGAGAAACTTTTAATTTATTTATTAATGTAAATAAAACAAACAAATTATAATGTATATACTAAATTAGGCACTTTCATTGCATTTAATTCCATTACTAGCCATGGTTTTGCGACCAAATAGTTTCCAAGTGCAATGTTACCATCGATGCATCCAGACCGACTTACACCAACCAAGAGTAGACCATTGTTCTGCAAAAATTAAATTAAAAATTTATTTTACACCCTGCTTATATATAATAAATGTGTTTGTAATTTCTTTACACAATAACAACTAAATATATACGACATCCTACTATGCCAGTAGAGCCCCAACAGTTAATTTGATAAAACTTTCTTGCACTTAAAACAAGATGTAAGAATGATGCTCTGTGAAGTGAGAGTTTTCACTGACTGTTGTATTTTGACAGATATTTAGGTTTTACCCGACTGCGTCAGAAGGAGAGTTATGTTATTGAGTATATGTACTACGCTCTGTTGCTTAAAGAGCTTAATAGATTTGAGCTTGAGAGGTGTCGCTTAGATTCGTCTTAATTGTAAGAGTGGCAGTGGATATATCAAAATTATAAAAATTAAAATAGCCGATTTTTGACGCCGTTTTGTCTTCAAAAAAATGTTTTCCTCAAAACCTATCGAGTAAGAGTACAAAAATATATACAACTCATATAAATATGTTTGAAATGAGAAATGCTACATAAATACAAATAAAAAAATATTTACAAAAATAAAAAACCCAACTGCATATAAAAAGAAGAAACATAATATTAATATTTGTACTCCAGTCGTGGATGTTTATAATATGTATGTATTTATATTTATATATGTGTATTATATATGTAGGTAGGTGTATATAGCCAGTGGTAACGCGCTCGCTTGGGAAACCGAGTGAAGCGAGTTCAAAGCCCGGGTCTCGCACCTCTGATATTTTCATGTGCGAATCATTTCCAACATGATTACCACTTGTCTTAACGGTGAAGGAAAACATCGTGAGGAAACCTGCATGTCTAAGAGAACCTAGCAAGTTTTCAAAAGACGTGTGAAGTTCGCCAATCCGCACTTGGCCAGCGTGGTGGACTATGGCCTGATCCCCCGCGTACTGAAGGGAGGCTCGTGCTCAGCAGTGGGACGTTAAAAAGGGCTGAATACACATATGTGTATCAACTATCTGGTATTCATGACACAAGCCTCGTAGCTTACCATGGAACTAGATGTTGTTGTACCTATGTTAATTAATGTCCCAACATATTTATTATTACTAGGTACGAGTACGTTTTAATGTTTTCAGCGGAACCCTAATTCTTTTTCTAAAATAAAAGTAGCCTATGTTACTCCCTATAACAGTCCAGTAAAAGTCCCGTCAAAATCAGTTTCAGAGATTATCCGGAACAGACAGACAAAAATTTAAAAAATTTAGATTTTCTTATAAGTACCGTATATAATTTCATATGCATTTAGTAAAACGTTCTTATTTTGACATTACAAACAGACACTTCAATTTTATTTATCTGTATAGAATTATTAATATCCAAGAAAGAGAGGTATAGAAAATTAAAGTTAAAACTCACGCCACTCTCGCACACCACTGGGGCTCCAGTTACTGCAAAACATTCTTTTTCTTTACTCTTGCCGCAAAATATGTCCAATGAACCACCCCCACCCATGTTGTCACAGACGCTTTCCGTCACTTGTATGATTGTCTAAAACAGTCGATTTTTATTTATAACCTTCAAAATCTATCTTTACATAATATGATAAAATTGTAACCAAGCCGAATCTGGACATTATTTTTTTTTTCTAAAATAATATTGAAATAAACATTATTATCGATACAGAGGCCGAATCGACCGATCGAAAAAAGTTTTATGAATTTTTGTATATCTGTCTGTCTGTTTGTATGTCTGTCTGTCTGTTACCGCATCACAGAAAAACCACTGGAGGGATTTGGATGTAATTTGCTATGATGATAGCTGGTTATCCTAGTCAACATATAGGATTCTTTTAACCGCGGGAAAATGTCTCATTTCTAAGATAAAATACAAAAGCTGCAATATAAGAGTATACTAATAGGTATGTAAAACCTAAGAATTTGGATTAGATTTTGATGAAATTTGGTATGATGATGGCTAGTTATCCGGGTCAACATATAGGATACTCATTCTGTCTGAGAAATCTATACTAACCGGTAAAACTCACCTAGTACTATTATATTTTTTTAATCAACGTGTCTGAAAAAAAATTGTTATTAAATTTAAAACAGAAGCTATTTAAATAAATATTACCGAGACAATATTATCATTGATGTCTAATCCAAAAGTCATACAATTTCCGCCTATTTTTACTGGATTTAGACAAGCGCCGGAAGCCGGCATGGTACCCCAATTCACTTCCTCTTTCAGCACTATAATCCCGAAATCGTTCCAACGCGTGCCTGTAAATATTTTTTTATATTATAAGTTCTAAATAGGCAAAGACAAAACAGTTTAGTACCTTTCTCTCCTGTGTTTCTCAGACGACTTTCTTTTTTTTTTGTTTAGTTAGCTATTGATGAGATTTAGTGTTATCAATAAAACATTTTGAAAAGTGTTTTAATATAGATAGATAAATTCATACATATTTTCTACAAATTTTTAATAATGAATATTATAGTCAAATCCGACCATTTGGCTAACACTATTATAAATAAATGTATAAGCAACTCAAACTTAAAATTTTCTTCATACTAACGACTCACCCTCGGTTTAACGGTTAGTATGGAATAGATAGCGTTCCTCAATAAGCGGGCTATCTAATGCAAAAATAATTTTTCAAATCGGTTTAGTTAATTCTTGAGATTAACGCGTTCAAACAAACAAATAAACAAACAAACTCTGCTTCTTTATAATACGAGTATTAGTATAGATTATACAATTAGACATTCACGAGAGCTTTTAAACAGTAGGTACATATAATTGACAAATTACTTAAAAATTAATAAAAAAGATAAAAGTCAAAATCTGAGAATTTCTATTGTTTTTGCTTACCGTAAAAGTAGTGACGACTACCACTTTCTTATCGTCCTAAAAGAAGGAATTTGAGATGCAGATTTTTCTTTGTACAAAAAAAACGTGTATGTGTACTTATGTACGCTCGTAAGAAGTTATACTTCTTTGGCGTAACAGAACAAAAATGGCTAAAGATTTCATTGCGTATGTCACAAACCTCTGTTTAAAAAAAAGAATGCATCTAACTTCATCATGTCGCTTTTAGCTAACTTCATCTTATCGCTTTATGGCTGTCAGTGTGTCACTTTTAAATCAACAAAGTAGTCTATACTAATATTATAAAGAGGTAAAGTTTGTGATCTTGTGAGTTTGTGAATTTGTAGAGGGTAATCTTTGGATCTACTGAACCGACTCAGATGAAATTTGGTAAGAAGATAGTTTGAGACACTGGGATAGACATAGGATACTTTTTATCCCGGAAATCATCCCTTAAGGGTGTAAAAATGGGGATGAAAATTTGTACTGTTAAGCAAGCTAGGGACGGACCCGAGCCAAGCGACGCGAGGGTGAGTCGTTAGTATTCAATAAGTACGTACGAGTATGATATTGTTTTTTTTTATAACATCGCTCTACTATAAATATTTTAAAGTGAAGTTTTTAACTACCTGTGATGTAAAAAATATAATAAGATTTACCAGAATTATACGAAGGGTTCAATTTTCGGAGATCTGCTTCATATTTGCGTGTTTTGTCAGGAGACGCGGGTACTTGCGCAAACAAAGTCTGATTATAGGCTGCCACCAAACAAGATGCTGCGGTCAAAATAACCTTAGAACCGATAAGTGCGCCTGCGCAGAACGCAGGTACATCCGCGATACTCGAGTCTCTAACCCTGAAAGATAGATAATATATTACATTTACTAGTGACTCACTTTTGCTCCGCTCAAGTCCATCCCTATTCCCTACTTACATTTTAACGTTTAGTATATATTTCTCAGAGATGAGATATTTTCCCGCAGTAAAAAGTATCCTATATTTTGACCTGGATAACCAAATTTCATTAAAAATCCCATCAACGATTTTTCCGGGATGCGGTCACAGACAGACAAATAGGCAGGCAGGCAGACAGACAAAATTCAAAAACTATAGATTGGGCCTCTGTATCGATAATACGAGTATTTCTATTTCAATAAAATTTTCCAAAAAATATTTAATGTACAGGTTTTAGCCTAGTATGTATGGATTGTACACCACAAAAGAAATATTTAAAAAAAGAAATAAACAAATAGAAGATGCACAGGAGACGGCCTTATCGCTAATAAGCGGTCTCTTCAGTAGTGTACTATACATAAATAAATATGTAAAATACATACTTTTATAAATGTACAATTTAGTCATTGTGATTTATTTTTAATTTTATATATTTAACGTTTTGCTTAAAGTGATTATTTTGAACAATAGGTTTAACAAAATAAGGCTGCTTAAAAAAAATAGTTTAACCATCTAATACTATTATTAAGAAACTAAATCTACACAAATTTTGTAAAGAGGTTAAGTTTGTAAGGCCGTGAGTTTGTAATTGCATTGCTATGAAAATGATTCGATACTGAAAATTCCCCGAGTGCTATAAGCTATTATTTATTTCGATTTAAATAAGTTTACTGCCAGAAATTGTGATAATTTTAGTTGAAATTAGAAGAAAATAGATCGTTGAGCTTTTTTGGCATGCGCTGCTTAAACGGTTTGAAATGAAGTTTTTGATTCTCAAACGAAGCGACGGCAAGTAGTAAATTGAATTGATAATTTTAATAGTAAACTTACTTATGCAATGTGACACACCACGTACATATATCAGACTCGAGTGGCAGGCATTTGTCTGAAAACAAAGATATTTAACTTGAAAACATAAATAAATGACAAAATCTATGCTATGACAAAATATTATGCTTTTCAATTTTTTTTTAAATATCAGTAAATTTAATATATATATATATATATATATATATATATATATATATATATAACTTTAAATACATATATGTATATTATAAATATAAACACCCATGACAGGAGTACAAACATTCATGCACATCACACAAATGAATATCCCCAGCGGGAGTCGAACCCGCGACCGCTGGCACAGCGAGTACGGTCACTACAAACTGAGTCAAACGTGTCGTCAAAATGTCAACGTGTCTCTTTTGAATATCATACAAACATACAAATATTTATTTTAATGACATTTATAAAAAGCTTTTTTAGGAAATGAAATATTTACCAACAGTATGGGTCGTGACCTCCGGAGGTTGCACGAGCAGTTCCGTGCTGCAGCACCATTCCAAAGAGCCCGGCCTTTGACACTCATTATTATGCAGTTCTCTAAAATATGTATATTTAATATATTATCCATATCCATACAAATATTTGATAAACTGTGTAAAGTATGTTTGTTTGTTTGTTTGTTTTATTTTTCTTATGTTTGTATTCAGCCCTTTTAAACGTCCCACTGCTGGGCCCGGGCCTCTTTTCAATACGAGAGGGATCAGGCCATAGCCCACCACGCTGGCCAAGTGCAGGTTGGCGGACTTCATATATCTTTCGAAAACTTGCTTAGTTCCCTCAGACATGCAGGTTTTCTCACAATGTTTTCCTTCACCGTAAAGCAAGTGGTAATCATGCTAGAAATGATTCGCACTTGAAAATATCAGAGGTGCGAGACCCGGGATTTGAACCCGCATTACTCGGTTTTCCAAGCGAGCGCATTACCACTGTGCTACCACTGCCTTTCTTATGTTTGATTCTGTTTAAATTGAACAAACATTGTTTTTAACTTATTTATGTTGTTTACTTAATGTCAAAGTTTAGGTATATTTTTAGTCATAGTTAATTCACATACATATTTTGTTATTTATATTACAGATCTATTTTATGAATTTTTCGTTAAGAATACAAGTGAGTAACAACTTCATTTATTTTCTATAATAAATGAAATAAATAAACATTTATTTCGTATACATATATCTATATATATATATATATATATATATATATATATATATATATATATATATATATATATACTATATATATATATATATATACTTGTATATTTGTAATTTCTTTTCTTGTAAATGGGTAATTCTATTCTACAGCAAAAAATGTGTGAGTTGAGAAAATTAACATGAATTAATTTACTTTATGGTCTCATTTTTAACGTTTATAAAATATGATCTCAATAGTAATTTTCATTAACTGCGAAAAAAATAGTAATAAACCTTTTTTTTCAAAAACTGCTGTGCATACTTTGCTTTGTATCGGCTGGCACGAACTTCGAAAATATTTAATCAGGTATGTATAGTAAATGAAAACTACCAATCAGTCTTTTACTTTTTAGTGCTTTTTTTGAAGTCGGTTTTTATTTTTTTGTTAAAAAGTTTTTATTTTACCCTTTTTAGTGTAGTAGCAAAGTAAGAAGAAAGTATTTTAATAAAATATTCGCTTAAACCGTTGAAGTTACTTTGATGCCAATTTTTATAAGAAGACTTACAAACTAAAATTCGCTTTATTAGTAACACTAAAAATTCTGGTTCTAAAATCCGATTCTAAAGTTTTAAGCTTGTCAGATCAAACAAAATAAGCCCAAACTCAAAGTATCTACTATTAGGCGTTGAAAAGTTTCACCTATCTACCTTCTGGGCTTACCATCAGATCAGGTTAACGATACCGAACCACTGCACTATCAACGGAAATAGAAACACTTGCAAAGTTTCAAGTCAAAATGACTATTAGAAGTAGATTAAATTCATCATTAGCTATTTTTCCACCCTTAGGGGTGGTATTTTTTTTAAATTTAAATGTGACCAATCTGAAAGTATACACTTTCAACCAAAACAAAAATTGTCCAAATCGGTTAACAAATTACGGAGTGCTGAGGTAACAAACATAAAAAAAACATACAGCCGAATTGAGAACCTCCTCCTCCTTTTTGAGGAAGTCAGTTGAAAATTAAAAAATGTAATATTAAAAAAAAGCTCAAACCTAACATGATGTGTATTAAAGAAATATAATATTTTAAAATAACTTTTGATTTCCAGGCAACTTTGCCATTATTTTCTCTCTAAAAAATCATTCGAACTGCCATTAAAAAAATAGCTAAATCGGTCCGGTCGTTCACAAATCATGCCGTTTACCAACTAACAGCATTTTATTTTTACTTATAAAGATTAATTAATTTTTATATTAAAATGATTACCTCATATCAGTATCTATATATCCACCTGGCAATATTGATTGGTTTGCGTTGCAATAACTAAATGGTACACAGAGGCCGCTCATGTTATTTTTCTTCTTGCATGGTAGAAAATCAGATATTGTTCTATCTATAACAATAAAGTTCGCTAGATTACACTCAATAAACCAAAAAAGGTCTCATGGTATCTTTCTTCATCTTAGACTTGATAAATAATTTAATTATGATAAATAAATATAAATATGCTGGGACATTAACACACAGCACCTCTAGTTCCATGGTAAGCTACGAGGCTTGTGTTATGGATATATGATGACCAGATAGTTGGTACACTACACCTATATAACCTTAATTACATTCATATTATAAATATAAACACCCATGACTGGAGTACAAACATTTGTGCTCAACACAATATATATGAATGCCCCCAGCAGGACTCCAAAACGCGACCATATATGTAATGAGCACAAATGTTTATACTCCAGTCATGGGTGTTTATATTTATAATATGTATGTATATAAAAAAGTTATATATGTGTAGTGTATCAACTATCTGGTAACCATAACACAGTCCTCGTAGCTCACCCTGGAACTAGATGGTGAGGTGTGTTAATGTCCCAACATATTTATGTATTTATCCAACGTTGTGGGAGCTATGCTGTGCGATGACTGATCCTGGTCAGCGATGATTGTTACCTTGTCATGGCTCGTCACCTCATTAGACAAGTCATCATAACGGGAGATGGTCATCAGGGAAGCAGCCCAACTATTATCATATTGTAAGAAAAGGTGACGCCTGAAGTTTTCACTTCGGGAAATTATAATTTCACGAGTGAAATTAAACGATTTTACAATTTACATTCGTCATACATATAAAATCCGTCCAATCTTTTTCAAATCTCGATATAGGCTGACGAAAATCTTGATTTCAACAACTGAACTAACAATAAACAAACAAATCTTTCTATCATTGCCACAATGTTTCCAAAAAACTCAAAATACATAAAATTATTACGTATTAGCTTTTAAAAACGAAGTTTACAGACCACCATCTTCTTGTTCGTCGTCTACAAGTTTGACATCATCATCAGTAGATGGCACCGTTGCTGCAAAGGCAATCATCAAAACTGATAGGAACAGTATGAAGTTAATTAGTGTCATCTAGAAAAACAAAACGAAATATGTATAAATGAAAATTCATAAATGAATGTAGGTGCATTTACTATCATTATTATCGATACAGATGTCGAAAATTATAGTTTTTAGAATTTTTGTCTGTCTGTCTGTCGGGGAATGCATCACGAGAAAACCACTAGACAGATTTTGATGAAATTTGGTATGATTATAAGTGGGTATCTGGGTCAACATATAGGATACTTTTTACTGCGGGAAAATATCTCATAGCTGAGAAATCTATACTAAACGTTAAAACATAAGTAGGGACGAACCCGAGCGGAGCGAGGGTGAGGCGCTAGTAAGATATAAATGAATGTATTTGTCCATACTAATATTACAGAGATAAAGTTTGTGAGTTTGTGAATTGTGAGTTTGTGATGTTGTAGGGGGTAATCTCTGGATCTACTAAACCGATTTAGATGAAATTTGGTAAAAACATAGTTTGAGGTGAACATAGTAGGAGGGTGAAAATGAGGATGAAAGTTTGTATGGGGAATCAACCTAGGGATGAACCCGAGCGAAGCCAGGGTGAATCACTAGTAATATATAAAAGTAAGGCAAAACTGTTGTTGGTACTTTTTACGTTTTTAGCTTAAACATATTCTGATTCACTATTTACAAGTATACACATTACACATGCATATATATTAATTTGACTCACAATTTTCTCTACAGTACGACTTATACCAATCACTGATAAACCGTCACTGTTTGGACTATGTATGAGAGATATAGATGAACTGGTGAGTGGTAAGTTATATGCAAAAGATGAAACAGCCAGGTTTTTAGTAATAGTATTATATAATATAATATACATAATAAATAAATATATTATAAAAATAAAAAACCTGACTGCATAAAAGTTAACTAAAAAGATGAAAACACGTTCACGATGGAATTTAGTATTATGCAGTCGGAGAGATACATACAAGTACCTACGAGCACATCTTGCGGCAAGGATGAAACGTGTATCTCTCCGACTGCATAATAATGGACTAACATCCCGCTGCAAGACTGCTACGTTCATAGCGTATTTAATCAAAATCATAAAAATTAAAATTTATGTACAATAATAAAAGGGACAATATGTTTTGACCGGGGTGCCTATTAAAATGTGCCCGCTAGTACGTTTAATCTATACATATAATATAATTGTACTAAGCCGAATCTGTACATGAAATATTTCTTGGAAAATCTTATTGAAATAAACATTATTATCTATACAGAGGCCTTTACAGATTCAACTCACTTAGAATTTTATTATATGTACCTATAGACAAGTTTAAATCAAATAGCTATCTTTTGAATAAACATGGCCACTACTGTCATTATGGTTATAGGCTATCGCTTAAAAGCGTCAATGATACTAGTTGGTTTTCCCTTAGAATTTGTGTTTGTGTTCACAATTACATTTAGTACTAATTTTTTGTATTCAAAGAAATTAAATGTAAGTAAATCATTAGAACTATAACATTGTTAGACAACACGTTTGGCTCAGTTTGTAGTGACCCTACTTGCTGCGCCAGCGATCGCGGGTTCGAGTCCCGCTGGGGGCATTCATTTGTGCGATGAGCACGAATGTTTGTACTCCAGTCATGGGTGTTTATATTTATAATATGTATGTATTTAAAGTTATATATGTGTAGTGTATCAACTATCTGGTATCCATAACACAAGCCTCGTAGCTTACCATGGAACTAGATGGTGTTGTGTGTTAATGTCCTGACATATTTATTATTATTTATTATGTTCGATAATTGAATTCGCCATTTATACTGAACTTGAGGCATACTCCCAGATTCAGAAGTCGAGCTTGAAAGAACGAAAAGAATACATAATTACAGTACAGACAGTGTATTTTTACTGTGCAATTTATAACTATATATTTATATTAATAGTTTATATACTAATATTCGCTTTTTTTACGTTATGTTTTTTGTTAGCATTAGATAATGTAAAATTAATCTTAGTATTGAAGTACCAATTTTCTTGGCGATCGGTAGAAGTTATGCAGCGAATTAGACTTAGAACTAAATATAAAATCTGCCTTTTAAAAACCCAAGTATGTATCAAAATTTTAAAATATTCAGTAAAAAGTTTTCAGTTTTACACAAAATTTTTATTTATATAAATTAGGCTTAGGATTATCAAATACCGCCACGTTTTTTAAGTTTTCTGACCAGTGAATTCTAATGATAAAAGCTGAGTAACTCTTGGCAATATATAATATGTAGTTAAAACGCAATGATTTAGTCAAATATTATTATAAAAAATAAATAATAGGCAAATTTTATATAATTTTAAATTAAAAAATTAAAAAACCTACGCAAATTAATTATCATTTAACGATTACACTGGCACGCGTAAAGCACTTAATCGAGTAATCATACGCCAAAATGCCTTACATCATTTTGGAAAAGTGCTGATACTCTTACACTGCCAGACCGATATTAACCAAACATAGCTAAGAACCAACGCAAGAAAACTGGCTTTCAAATGATAAAAACCGCATCGAAATCAGTCCATCCGTTTGAGAGCTACAGCGCCACAGACAGACACACACACACACACAGAGAGACAGGCAGACAGACAGACATCGACGTCAAACTTATAACGCCCTTTTTTGCGTCGGGTGTTAGAAACTAGAGACTCGCCCTTGCTTCACTCGGGTCCCAGTATCTTAAAAGATAGACATATGCTATTATGGACTTTTCTGTAGGCCTTTTAAAGACATACAATTTTCTAATACATCGTTTTGACGTATTTTTAAAGCTTTAGACATCATTCGCTATATTTTCTAAGGACGACTCGATAGAACCAGTTATTGTGTTTTCCTATGGGAATGAAAGATTTTCCTGTAGAAAAGAGTATCCTAAATATTGGCCCGTGTAATAAGTTATCACTACACAAAATTTAGCTAAAATCGGTTCAGTACTTTTTGCGTGTTAGACGAACAAACCCAAACAGACATTACAGACAGTATAAGACATAGATACAAATAGACTAAAATTTTAATAACTATTGTTTTGGAGTATATTCTGTACATAATACGTTATACTCACTGTTTTTAGAAAATATTTCATGTACAGATTTCGCTAAGTTACTGTTGTATTAATTACTAGCAGAACCCGAGCTTCGCTCGAGCTAAAACTACAAGAAAATCTCTAAAACGGTAGATCATCATACAAACTTTCATCCCCTATTTTACCCCACTTATGGGAAAAATGCTAAAACACGTATTTATTTAATTGTATTGAAGAGCATTAATAGCATGTTTCAAGTAATTCTTATCATAAATATTTTCTTGGGTTAAATTATAACGTATTTTTCCGTGGGAAGGAGATCATCTCCCGCGGCAAAAAGTAGCCTATGTCACTCTCCAGCCCTCCAACTATCTCTACACAAAAAATCACGCTATTCCGTCTCTCCGTTTTGACGTGAAAGAAGGACAAACAAACAAACACACTTTCACATTTATAATATTAGTATGGATGTATAGATAAAAACACAGGCTTGGCTTGGAATGCCCCTAACATTCAAGGTTAAAGGTCCAAAAAAACCTTAATGGGTACCAATTACAATGAGTATCTTATTATTGGGAATTGTAATGTGTTGCTGCGATATTATAGGAGCCATATTTCGTGCTAAATCGATTGGCAAATATTTTTGCTCATGCAAATTGTTCTTCTCCATGGAGTTTTTTAGAATATTGTCCTTCTGACCACAATTAAACACAAGTGCACTCTCTACTCCTTTCGCACGTAAAGTCCGATGATAATTTGACATGACCGGTGAGAGATCATAGGACTGGTGCGTCACATTTTATCCCAAGAATGACGTTGAAACAACACCAACTTCTCAACTTCAGGCTGTTACTGAGAATTTCGTCACAGAAAATCCCAATAAATATGCTTGACCCTTCTTCTCACTCGTATCGTCACTTTCTAATACTAAGTATAAACAAAACGTTAGTAGTAGGTATAGTAATATAAATAGTTTGAAATATCTTTTAAAGTATGACCGATGTTATCATTAGAGTTAGGTTATCGCTTTTAGACATAAATATATATATTTATATTATAAGTACTGGCTTTCCCTGTGATTTATACACTTGCTAGGCAATCATTGATGGGTCAATGATCCATAGCCTTGGGAAATATGCATACCTATAATAATGAATAAATGTTAAGACATTAACACACAGCGCCATCTAGTTCCATGGTAAGCCACGAGGCTTGTGTTATGGGTAGCAGATAGTTGATACACTACACATATATAACTTTAAATACATACATATTATAAATATAAACACCCATGACTGGAGTACAAACATTCGTGCTTATCACACAAATGAATGCCCCCAGCGGGACTCGAACCCGCGACAGCTGGCACAGCAAGTAGGGTCACTACCAACTGAGCCAAACGTATCGTCGAATATATCATTCGCAATCGCTAATAGAAAATTAACTATGTCTTCTTCTTCTTCTTCTTCTCGTCTTTATGCAACGCTACTTGGGATTTCCTTGACGTCGTATTAAAAAGTAGGAATACCATTCCATTGGAACATATTATGAAGATTACTCTGATTTTTCTATGATGTTCAATGACACAGTAACATTGCTTTAATCTATGAACTCTGAACTCTGAACTCTTTCGATAAATCAAGATAAAAGTTCAGGAATGATTAAAATAAATAGTGATGAACACGTATTTCACGTTTTGGGATTCCCTTGTTCTGTGATTGTAAATAAATTATTTTCCATTTTTTAAGGACACGTTTGGCTTAGTTTGTAGTGACCCTACTTGCTGTACCAGCGGTCGCTGGTTCGAGTCTCGCTGTGGCATTCATTTGTGTGATGATCACTAATGTTTTTCACTCCAGTCATGGGCAGTCATGGGTGTTTATATTTATAATATGTGTGTATTTAAAGTTATATATCAACTATCTGATATCCATAACACAAGCCTCGTAGCTTACCATGCAACTATGTGGTGTCGTGTGTTAATAATAATAATGTATGTATTCGGCTCTTTTTAACATCCCACTATTGGGCACGGGCCTCCGTTCAGTACGAGGGGGATCAGGCCACATATCGACCACGCTGACCAAGTCCGGGTTGGCTGAAATTACATGTCTTTTGAAAACTTGTTAGGTTCCCTCAGACATGCAGGTGTCCTCACAATGTTTTCTTTCACTGTTAAGACAAATGGTAATCATGTTGAAAATGATTCGCACATGAAAATATCAGAGGTGCGCGACCCGGGATTTGAACCCGCTTCACTCGGTTTCCTAAACGAGCGCAATGCCACTGGGCTACCATTGCCTCAAAATAATAACGCCATGCCAATAATAATAATAATAATATGTTCCAACATATTTACGTGTCTCGAAAAGCTTGTGAAGCTTTCGGTACTAGAATTGATCTCTCATCGGTCGTATCGAATTGAATCGGCCCAATGAAACTTGAAAATTATTAATAAAAAAAACACATCTTCAAGTTTTCTTATAACTTTCTTCTTGTTGATTCTTATATATACTTACTGTTAACTTTAATTTCAATTTTATTTTTGCTCACTAATGTAAACTATTATTATTAAGTTTTGTTGTCTTATTAGATGGCAGTGTTGCTTATAATTAGGGCATCATTAAGACTAGATCTTCTTTTGTTTATTACCATGTACAACTGTAAGGAGGTATGCTCTGTTAGCGACCTATGTAATAAATAATAAATAAATAAATAAATTGAAAGCAACAGAAAGTTCATGTTGTGTGTGCCTCCATACTTGTACACAATAATATCTCCTTCACAGCTGGCAAGTTTGGCCAGAAGGAGGTTTATTAGAGCTCAAAGATTATGTTACGAATTAATCGAATCAAAGTTGTTCAATTATCTAATAGCCCATAAAGTCGTTAGAATAATTTTTACAATTAATTGTTAATTATAAATTATTTAGTATAGAATATTTTAGCTCTACTTTATCCGATTTTGTGACAGAAAAACATTCATTATAATTTCTTTTAAAAATTGTTAAAATGAATATGTCGGCCAACCTCCTTCGCCTCTTCTCCATTCTACGTGGCATTGGCGAAGTTATCTATGCTCAACTGGCACGCTTTGAAGCCATTAACAAGGGAATTGAATTGAATTGAATTGAAATGAATATATACGTATATGAAATGATAGTTAATAAAGTGTGGTAGCTGTGGTAGGCAGCCCTAGTGGCAACGCGCTCAATTGTAAGATCAAATTCCATTTTAATTTAAATTCCAGTTTCGAACCTCTGAGGTTTTAATGTGCGAACTATGACGAAAACAATAAGGAAAATTTTCATGTCTGAGAGAACTTAATGAATTTTCAACAGAAATGTGGAGCCCACCACGCTGTATATGGCTAGTGTGGTGGACTATGACCTGATTCCTCTCCCAATAAAAAGAGGCCCGTGTCCAACTGTTGGACCTTATATTCTAAACAATTCTTATTACTAATTATGTTTTGGTTTAGTTATTAGGTATATCTTATCTGAATTTTGTATGCTTAGCTAGCAATTGTACAAACAATAAAAATTGATTTAATTTAATTATTATTAGTATTAATT